TGCTCAGGTTACTTCCATATACAGTTTCAGCTTTGTTAACTGTAAAATGGGAGCTTTGACTCTAAACCCCAGGTTACCGAGAGGCTAAACTAAGATGACTAATGGTTGGTGCTTAGAATATTACACTGTAGGTAGCACTGGCTAAACTTTTTTATGATAGGAAAAGAGCTAGCAAATACCCCAAGAAACCGTTGAACTTATCTGGACAATAAGATGCTAGACTTTAGATGCTTGCAATGAAAGAATCTCAATTGAATTTGAACTGTGGTAATGCAACAAGGTGGAGGAATCCACCATGGGGGGGTTTGGGGAGGGGTGGGGGAATCCCAGTGCCTATAAAACTGTGTCACACAATGCAATGTAATCAATAAAAAAGGAAAAAAAAAAAAAGAGCTCGCAAATACTCAAGGCCCTCAACACCATCCACATTACTGATCAGGTCATTAGTGAGAAGTTACCACTAGGAGAATGAGCACCAGTGAAGATAGCAGAACCTTCAGATGAGGACAAGAGCATCACAGATTTTGAAACTTCAGTGGAACCTGTGTTTACCCTGTTTTTGCACTTTAGGTAGATACTTGCTTTGGGAAACTCTATGCTCATACCTCCCTACCCTGGGTCTTGGGGATAACTGACAGCTTGAAATGGATGTCAGCTTCAATTTCCCCCTTCAAAAACAATCTGGGTCATTAGGATTTTGTTGTTGTTTGTTTGTTTTTCTACTTTAAGATTCCTCTATGGAAACAGAGCAGAAATTTCTGGGATTTTCTCATTTCTTCCCTCTTTTTTTTTCTCTTAAGTTGTAGCATGTTCAAATGCCAAAGCCATATTAAAGCACAGTTTGAGTCCTACCTACTCTGCTTCCAATACAGCTCCCTGCTAAGGCACCTGAGAAAGAAGCAGAGAACAATTCAAGTACTTGGGCCCCACCATCCACATGGGAGGCCTGGAAGAAGCTCCTGGGCCCTGGCTTTGGCCTGGCCCAGCCCTAGATATACTGGCCTACTGGCCACGTGGGGAGTGAGTTAGTGGATAGAGGATTTGTTTCTGTCTTCTCTTACTCTTGGTCACTCTTTCAAATAACTAAATAAACTTAAAAAAAAAAAAAGCCACTGTCTCTCACTGTAGTTACACATATAGGTGGGTCTCATCTTCCTGGACACATCAGACTTCAAAATTATCTACACTTGTGCAAGCTACCTTTTTCTTGCATTAACTAATCTCAACTAAAATGAGTGTAAAAGCTTGATGGCGTGTCACTGTTCTCAACTCAATGATCAATAATGAGGATGACTAGTATTTCCACAATGGTCTCCCTTTTCGGCTTCCAACTCTTTCCATGATGTTTAAGCAGGTTCTCTCATTCCTATACTCAGATTGGGAAACTGGCCTTGCTCTGGCCCACAAGGCCACAATTGCTAAGTGACTCAGGGTTAGGAACTGAAAGCTTCTAATATAATCAGCAAAGCAAATGGGAACAGAAAGCTAGTTGCTCAAAGTAATTCATACAAAAATGTAAATGACCAATAGCTTAGATTTATCAAGAAAGAAATGTTTTTGAAAAGAAAGACCCAGTAAGGATATGGAATATGCAGGTACAGGATGATAGGGAGTGGAGTTTGAAGTTTTTTTTAAGCTTCTAAGCAATAGAAGTTTATTTCTCAAAGTTCCATAGGCCATGAAGTCCAAAATTGAAGCACTAGTGAATTTTGTTTTCAGGATCATAGACATCTGCTTCTCATGTGTCTGATTAATTTTTCCCATCCCTACAGACTTATTGCACTTAAGCTGGGTTGTCTCCTGGGGACTAGGGACAGATGGTAAAGCTGTTGTCTGCAACACTAGCATCCCAGATGAGCAGTAGTTTGAACCCTGGCTGCTCTACTTCCAATTCAGCTCCCTGCTACTCTCCTGGGAAAAGCAGCCGAAGACGGCCCAAGTGTGTGGGCCCCTGCTACCCTTGTAGGAGACCTGCAAGAAGTTCCTACCTGCTCACTTCACCTTGGCCCGGTCCTGGCTATTAAGGTCAGTTGAGTGAACCAGGAGATGGAAGATCTCGCTCTCTCTCATATATCACACACACACATATATATGTCTCTCCCTCTCCCTGTAACTCTTTCAAATAAATAAAAAAAAAAAATAGAAAAAACCCACAAATCTTTCTCTTTCACTCTTGTTCTCTCTCATACAGGACACTTAGCTGGTTCAGCCTATAACAGAAACAGACCTCGGTCCCATCAGTTACCACTGAATCTCCATTCTTAACTTCACTCAATTGCTTTTAAAAGTAAGGGTATTTTGTGAAAAATTAAAATACACCCTGTATGTGGGCAACCACAGGAAATGTCATTTGCCAGGCAGCACTGTGCTAAAAACATACAGATGGCAGAGCACATACATGTTAGCAGTAGTTCCACCCAGGGCTCCCACGCTGCTGAGTACAAACTGCAGGAAGCTCCCTTGGGCAGGGAGGCCTGTCCAACACTTCCTTCTGCCCCTCCCCCCGACAGCCCCTCTCCGCAGTCCTGGACTTGAGCAAGGTCTGAGTGGGTTCCATTGAGAGCACTGAGCTGTGCAGGAAGCACAGAGCAGCCAACAGTGAAAGGGGCCTTTGTGAGCAGGGGTTCAGATTGCTTCAGCAGACTCCCACTGAGAGGCTCTGTTTCTGAGCTCCCTCTGATTCTCAGAGGAAGGGGAGCTGCTGAAGAGAGGGAGGGGGAGCTGAAGGGAGGGCAGATGCGGAAGAGAGGGAGGGGGAGGCGAACGGGGGAGGGGGAGCTAAGGGGGGTAGCTGCTGAAGGGGAGGAGGGGAGCTGAGTGGGGGAAGGGGAGCTGAAGGGGGAAAGGGGGAGCTGGATGGGGGAGCTGCTGAAGACAGGGGTGGGGAGAGTGAACTGCAAAGAGGACTCCAGCTAGGCAAGGGGCAGAGGAGGGGTGGTGGCCACTCTCTGAGATAGAACTCTAACTTCCAGGGCAAAGCAACCATGTCTGATGGCTACTAGGGAACGCAGGTCAGAATGCCACTGTCAGAGCCAGTAGTGGCCTCTCGGGACCTTCCCCACCCCAAAGAGATTCCTCCCCAGCAAGGAAAATCCCTGGTGCCCTGATTTCCAGCAAAACTAAAACAAAAAAACAAAAAATAGGGAATGTGTTTTTCCCTAAGCAGATATACTTTTTTTTAAAGTCTTTTTCCTTCTTTTCTATCACTAAGAAACTCTATTTTCCATTTTGCAATATTCACAAGTAATTTACTTCTCATTATAGTACCCTCATTTGTCACAGAACAGTAATCTTGGGGGCAGCATTTCTAGCCTAGCAGCCAAAGCACCCACAGGCCACACTGGAGTTCCTGGGTTAGATACCTGGCTCTACTGCTAGGCTACAACTTCCTGCTAAGACAGACACTGACAGGCAGCAGGTGCAACAGCTCAAGTGACCCTGTTAACACCTGCCACCCACAGAGGAGGATGGGAACATTGACTTTTCCCAAGTACTCTACACATGGCAGGCATTATGCAAGTACTCAGGTTCCAAAGAAGTACTCAGGAGATGGGTACTAACATTACTCCCTTACAGTCTTGGAAATGGAGGCAAAAAGAGGCTAAGGAAGTCACCCAAGGCCACATAGTTGGTGGGTGACAGAGCTCCCTAACTGGTTCCAGAGTCTGTGCCTTTATTTTACCACACAGTCCTAGAGGACTCTGAATCTAATTCAGAGGACCACAGCAATGATCTCTTCTGAATTCTCTCTTATTACAGAAGGGATGGGACCCAATGAAGTCGGCTACAGAAATGTGGCTAGTCCTTGGCAAAGTCTGGGGGAGAGTCAAGATTATATTTAAATTCTAATGGAATGTGGACACACCATACCCCCCTCCCCCAGTCACCTGAAGCTAAGTGCCCACATGCCTATGGCCCTATCAATGGTCAGGCCTACGTAAATTCATGGCTTCTCAGTTATAAAATGTCAACTTGGACAGCAACATGGGTCACATTCACAGGCATTTTTGTGAGCCTCATCTAAACATGAGGAAAGGGAAGGAGCAACTAAAAACTATGCCAGGGACATGAGCTCAAAATTCTTGACCCTTGAGGCTGGTGTTGTAGCACAGCGATTGAAGCTTCCACCTGCAGTGCAGACATCCCATATAGGTACCTGTTAGAGTCCCTGCTGCTCCACTTGTGATGCAGCACCCTGCTAATGTTCCTGGGAAAGCAACATATGCCCCAAGTGCTTGCGCCCCTACACCTACCTGGGAGACCCAGAAATAGTTCCTCGTTCCTGGCTTTGGTCTTGGTCATTGCAGTCATTTGGGGAGTGAACCAGTGGATGGAAGAGCTCTCTCTCTCTCTCTTACTTATTTTCTCAGATAAATAAATCTTTAAAAATAATATCTGTGGGCCCTGTGCAATGGTCTAGTGGCTAAATTCTTGCCTTGCAACTGCCGCGTTTCCATATGGGCACTAGTTCGTGTCCCAGCCTCTCCACTTCCCATCCAGCTCCCTGCTTGTGACTTAGGAAGCAGCAGAAGATGGTTCAAAGCCTTGGGACACTGTGCCTGTGTGAAAGACCCAGAAGAAGTTTTAGGCTCCTAGCTTTGGACTGACTCAGTTCAGGCCATTGTGGCCATTTGGGAAGTTAACCAATGGATGGAAGATCTTTCTCTCTGTCTCTCCTTCTAGCTCTAAAAGAATTTACCTTTCCGATAAAAATAAATAATGATTTTTTAAAAAGTGTCTGACCCCATCTGAGTAAGTCTGTTTTTGGCATCTCATAGGACATCTGTTCTTATCCTTCAGAGTGACTCTGTGTCACGATCTATAAGCACACATTTAGTGTATACATGTGTAGTCCCAGGCTCCCTGGCTAGCCTGTAAGCTTCACGACGACACTGGCCCTGTGCATTTCACTCAACCCCGGGGCCACAGTAAGTATTCAACTCAAAGTCTCAACAACATGATTTAAAGGGAGATTTTAGGCTGCACCACACTTTACTTACCATGGATTTACTTTGTTTTGTTTGTTTTTTGCTGTTCAGGGCTCTTTGTCCAGTCACTGGATCACATTCATTACGTGGGCACAGCCGACTCAAACAAACAAAATCTCAATCAGAGAAGTTTAACAGCCATATGTATGCAGCTTTCATTCAGGGTCCATGAGCTAACAAGGTGAGACTGACTATGTGTTAAACTTCAGTCACCAAGGGCAGGCATTGGTGTAGCAGGTAAAATGTGACTTGGGGTGCCTGCTGGGGTGTCTGGTTCAATCCCTGGCTGGTCTGCCTCTGATGCAGCTGCGACTGATTGCTCTGCATCCTGGAAGACAGAAAGTCCCTGCCATTTCTGTGGGAGACACAGATTAAGTTCCAGGTTCCTGGCTCCAGCCTGGTCCCGCTGCAGCTAAAGCAGACATTTAGGGAGTGAACCATAACATGAAAGATCTATCTCTCCTGCTGCCTTCCAAGTGAAATGAAAATAAACACATCTTTTAAAAGGTTTATTTATGTATTTGAGAGGCAGTGTTAGAGAAAGTGGGAGCTTTCAACCACTGTTTCATCCCTCAGTTGACCACAATGGCTAGAGCTAAGTCAGTCCAAAATTAGGAGCCAGGAGATTCTTTCAGGTTTCTCATATGGTTGCAGTGGCCCAAGAAATTGGGCCATCCACCACTGCTTTAACAGGCACATTAGCAGGAAGCTGGTCTGAAAATGGAACAGCTAGGATTTGAACCAGTGGTTACTGGGATACCAGCACTGCAAGCAGTAGCTTAATCCACTATGCCATAATCTCTGCCCTATAAACAAATGCTAAAAATGAATAAATAACTTCAATGATCAATCCAAAGAGTAAACAAAAAAGAGCAATACAAGCTTCTAAGTTACAGATTACATTGGAAATAAAGGAATTACTTTCAAGTTCTGGAGATAATTCAAAGTATGTATGCAAAGTTCACTATAAGACCCTTTGTTTAGGAACCGTTTAAGCACCTAGAGAAAATAATTTTTGTTTGAAATGTTCATTATTTATATGTAAAGAGCTATTTATACTTTAAAGTTATTTTAAAAACAAATTATTCTTTTAACATTTTAAACATTATTCTTGTAATAGTATTTGTTATCTACAAATAACAGGTTTGAAGAATAAGATAAAACAACCTCCCAGTTACTCTCTAAAATAAAATGAACTGTGAATGTACTTAAATTAATGAAGCTTTGACTTCAGCCAAATTATAAAAATCTTATGAATTGTTTCATTGTTGAAATGTAAGAGTTCTCCAAAAGCAGTAACTCTTTTCTGCTTAACTCTTCCACAAGGAAAACAGTAAGAGTTGCCAATCAGCAGATCTAATTTTGTGCCTAAGTAATCAGTCTGCTTTAATTTCTACTTTATTGCTGGATCCAAACAAGAGCTGTCTCATTTCTGTACTTTCAGTGTCAATGCATTCATTTTTTAAAACTTCTTTATGTGGAGAAGCATAAGCTATTGCAGGGAGCCAGCGAACACAAGGTCAGCGCCCTTTCCAGGGGACCAAGCCGGACAAGAACAATTTCTCCTTATTTTCAGAAAACACATGTGTACAAACTGGGAATAGATGTATATTTTTAAAAATCTGGAGTCAACCCTTTGCCTCAGCATGCATCTGCCACACTGACTCCATTAGCAAACAAAGGAGTTAAGTCAACTTTGCATATGTGAAAATGCACTTGGGACTTGAGTCTGTGAAAGTTATGAAGCAGCCATACTCCAAAAGCTGCTGGAAAGACAGAAAATGCAATGCACTTGTGGGGTGCCTACCGTCTTAGCAACATGTTAGGTCGCGTCCACAGAGCTATCACTGACACAGTGCAAGCGACACACTTTGGGGATGTCTTTATCCCACCTTTTGCCCTCCCATTACCTGCAAGCTTGTTTTTTTCCCTTCATGGGCATGGTTTGGGGTTTGTCTTTAACACAACATATCTAATAACAAACAAGGAAAATGCATATTTTCTTTTGTGATTGAAATAACCTTGACTAGCTCAATAGTGTGCTGCTGCTGCTGTTTTTTAAAGGCCTGATTCTTACTTTCACAGAGGAGCAAACTTCCCTTGATGAATCCTAGCTACCTTTCATCCAGAGTGATTCCATGTGTTTGGACTTTATACTACCTGCTGCATGATAAGCGACAAAGGTTAGGCATTAGTAACCCCAGCAGTAGGCTCAAATTTCCCCCCAGGAACCCCAAGAGCATGTTACCCCTTGGCGAGAGAGTTCAGAGGTGCAGGTGGTAAGAGTGTGGCTGTTCCTGTCCCTGCTAACAAATGGGAAGCAATTTTCTCATGGTTTCCTGCTGGGGCCCAGTAGGTGCTACTGTGGAAAAGTGGTTTCTTCCTCACCTTTCTTTCCGATGCTGTCTGGCTTTCGCTGGTACACAGGGTGCCTTTTGGACCGCAGTGAGGAGTCACCTGGGAAAAGTGCAGACCCCTGGTTCTGAGGCGAGTCCATCAGGCTATGTCTTTCTGACTGCCTCATCTCCCTCTGCCTCCAGCTTGGGTCGCAGTCAGCTCTGTCCTGCTCTGTCAGTGCACCTGAAATCAGATCTCTGGGAATGAGTGATGTCTATAATAGACTGTGCTTCCTTATGCCCAACAGCTGGGCACCTGGGGAGCATAAGGCTTTTCCTTATCCCACTGCTCTGGCTTTCAGCCAGGCCTCAGCCCCCAGGGGCCACACCTACCTTCCTGAATCTGAATAAATACTGAGACATGGGAGACAGTTGTAAAGCCAACAGATGGCCCTGCAACCCTGACATCATCCACTGCCTGGCATCCCTTTTTGCCCATCATGTGGTATCCCTGGAAGTCCTGTATGGTGACGGGTGTGATCCAAGGCAGTCTGGTACTGCCTGCCTGCCTACCCCACATCCTGCAGGCAGGTGGGCGTCCCCGGGGTTGGCGCTCATACTCCAGGCTCCATCCCTTCTGCTGGCCACTGCTGCACTTGCACCAACTTTGAATCTTCTTCTCCCAGTAGAGTGTATTTAACTGGGTTCATTTCCATTCACTGTAGTTTTTTTTTTTAAAAGAATCGTCTTGGAGAAGAAATTTAAACCCTGTAAGGTGCCCTAACACTAGACTCCTGGAAACTAAAATGGGAAATAACTCAGTACAAAAGAGGTCCCTGTGGGAAGCAAATGTGCAGATTCCCCTGCCACGTTCTACCAATGGTGCACTAAGCCTGGTGGTTCCATTTATCTCTAGGGGGCAAGTAATGGATCTATTTCAGCACCTACACAATTTCTGTGTTTTCTTCTGGATGAAATAATAATAGGTCTAAAATATGGCTTTCTTTCTAAAATTAGTTCTTATTCAGACACTGTCATCTGTGACTCAACACCATTTTATACAGAAATAGAAAATGATTACCTACTAGCAGGTAGAACAATGCCTGACTACATTCAGTAAGTTGCTCGTTAGCCATTTAATGTCCACGCTATGTGGCCTGTACAGTAAGGAACAAAGACATAAGCAGGAAGACGCTCCGGTGCTCAAGGGGCATATTTTACAGGCTTTTACATTTATTTTTTAAAGTTCTACTGTCTCCTTTGTAGTCCAATGCTGCAGTCCCAGGAGACTGCAGCGTTTTGCAGTGTGTTTCTGAGGAAACAGAATAGCTGCCTCCTACTTCTAAATGGGTAACTGCGCTCACACAGGTGGGCCCAGCAGTCCTGACCTGCCAAGCAGGTGCTCCCTGCAGCGCCCTCACTCACAGCAATGCCACAATTTGTTTGTTTTGGAACAGCATTTTCTTACAAACATTTTTGGAAAATGTTAGTTTTCTGTTGAGGAGAGATTTTTTCCTTTTTCTATTTTTATTCTTTCTTCTTTTAATTAGTTGTTAACAGATCCATGTGCTTTATGCATACAATTCTAAGTATATAATTATATTCCCTTCCTCCTGCCTTCTCCTTCCCACTCATACTCCTCCTTTCTCCCCTTCTCTCTCTCTCTCTCTCTCAGTTTTTGAGATAGTGTGTTTTAAACTTACATTATATAAAAAGGCCTAATGCTGCACTGAATAACAAGTTTTACAAGAAAAAAAAAGCAGTAAGATAATGGTTTTGTGGAAATACAGACAATAACCGAATGGAAAAATGACTATTTCACTCCTATACAGTCTATTAAAAGCAGAGATCTTCCATCTCGTCAGCTGGGCCAGGTTGAACCCTAGAATTCCATTTGGCTTTCCCACGTCAGTAACAGAGACCCAAGTGTTGTCTCCGCCCCCCAGGACATGCATTAGCAGACAATGGAACTGAACCCAACCCTTCTGGTACAGTCCATGGGCGATCTACACAGGGATTTAACCACTGCACAAATGCCTACCCAAAGAGAAATACTACAAGCCTTCAAATTCAGAAGATTTTTTTAAAATCACTTAAACTATAGAAGAGAACAGATGGCGTCTAGTGTATCCATTTCCGCCTGAACCTATAATGTTCCAGTTACCCAAGTTCAATTTACTTTCTTGCTGCCTCTTTAAATCCCTTCTGAAGTATCCCAAGATCAAGCAGCTCAAGCATCTTTCTGTAAAAGAAGTTAGGCTCTTTGTTCTCCCCACAAAGAACAAAGCCCCCCAAGTGTCAAGCTGTCACTGTTCCACTCTGATGCTGCCCTTCCCTTACAGCCAGGCACAAAGTTCTCAACCCAGAGTCACCCTCCCTTTTGGTGAGCAAGGACAGTGTCTTCAGGAGGCACTCATTCTCTTCTTTCAACGATCATTCCCAAGTTCCAGGAAAAAAGAATAAAGATGATGAATGTGCTTTAAAAAACCAGATAATGGTGGTTACTAACACACGTAAGCTCCAAGCAAGGCCAATGTTCCCAGTAGGGGAGGTGACATGACAAATACTCCGGGTGATGACATAATTTTTTTGATAAGCTAGAGGTGGGGAAAACTCCAAAGTACAACTCCCAGTTAAAACTGAAGTTCAAGTTAACAAGTAGACAGGCTCTGACTTCCCAAGGGCAGGGCAGGCAGGAGACCATGGCATTTAAAGCCAAAAAGGAACTTTAGCTTGGAACAAAAAATTTGAAATACATGTACTATTTTTTATTAATATGTATTTCCATGAACTTTCAGAAGGTCCCTTGCATTGTCTTTGTCCATTTTCCCTACTTTATCCAGAGACTCCAATCCCACCATCTCAGGATTTTTTCCAATGCAGTGAAAAATGGAATGATCTGGATGACTACCAAAGCTAGCTCCAACCTGATATTTAACAAAACACAAAACAAAAGCCCCCATGCCGCTGCCATTGGATCAGGCTAAGCAGCCCGCAAGCCTGATCAGCAACAAGCCTCTCTCCTGCTAGGACCAGCAGGCCAGGGCAGCCACAGAGGAGCTAACTCAGAGGCCTT